AAACTCGCAATCAATTTCGGAGACTTTCCTCCCGGGGGAATAAATTTCTCCGGAGCGAATGGCAAATCACTGTGCAAATTATGTAAGTTCTCAGGATACTCTAGATCCACTTCCAAAATAAACCCAGTGTCTCCATTTTCAGGTACTGTCAAAATATTAAACGTTTCAATTTCATATTTATTTAAAAATTTAAATTCAGAATAAGGCAAACTTTTAGTCATTGCATGTCCGTACAGATTGTTACAATCTAAATATATCAAATAAGATGACGGATTGAAATCATCAAATTCTGGTAAGTATTTATTATTGGCTTTAGCGTGTCGTAATGAACACTGAACCAATCCTCCGCGTATTCCTTTTTCTAACATTTGATACATTTCCAAATCATCTATCAAATCTAGTTCAATGCCTGTCGAAAGCAGCATAGCATCCCAACTCAAGCTCGGTGATGTTACGTAATAGGCTGGATCTAATTTGTAATATTTTAAACTCAAGTTTCTGAAATTTTCAAATACATCACATAACAATAAAACGTCACATTTAAGGTACAAATCGGTATATTCACCGAGAGTATTAATATTGAATACATTCCACACAGAATGTGCATGATTAAAGTCTTTATCACTTATATGTTCCATTTTCAAATTATTAAAAAAAAATTCTTTTGAAGGAAGTTTAGTTTCTTCGTATCTATTCCAAGAATCCATGTAATCGTACGGATAAATACCTTTTGATTTTAATAAATGCAAATGCTTGCTTTTAAATTGCATGGATAAATTGGTGAAATCTTCATCTGATAAATTGTTACTCAACATGTCTAAACTTGTGCTCAAAAACTGAAATGAATCTATAAATTTTATTTGTAATGGACGTGTAAATTCTTTTAAATGTATGGTCTTTGTAATTGTGAGGTACTTTTCTTTAGTTTTCGGTATAATTGTAATTGGACCATAGTATTTTGCTAATTCGCTAATAAACAAATGTGAGTCATAGTTAGCTAAATTATGAAAGACTACTGGTATGAATGGACACACTCTGAACATCAAATTACATTGTGAATGAGCTGGCCCTCTATATTCAGAAGTAATATGATCGTGGTCACGAACCTTGTCATCGAATAATAAATGGCTACAAATATGACACGATGTAGCGTTTTGATAACTATTTTCTTGTTCTTTCGTCAAAGGCGTCATTGGATTCTTATCACATAATATTTTATAAAGGCATTTCACATCTGCAATCAATCTGTTAACAAACACTTCTACACAATCCGAACCCCTGTAGGTAACGAACTTGTTTAAACTCGAGTCATATGAACAACAAATATAATACGCAAAACATGAAGGTTGATGAACTTTTAAATTACGTGTATTTTCGCTACCATTCTCTGTACAGTTAACTAATAGACTTTCGAAATCAGCATATATAACAAAATAAATTTTTTGCTGTCTCTCAAAATGTTTAAATCCGATTGTACTATTTTTTTTTAGGTAAGACTGTCAACACTTGAGAGCAATCATGGTTTGTATATTTAATTTCAGAAGAAAAAAAACGTAAACAATTCTCACACATATATAGATTCCCTTTAAATTTACTAATCTGACGTTTTACTAATCGTACAAGATCTTTAATAAGGCAGTAATGACCTTTGACTCCTTTTTCAAAGTATAATAAATTTACATGATTGTTCTTTCGATTTTTAGATAAATATAATGGACCAGTTACTAAACTGCTTGAACTTAATCCATAAATGTTGATACTGATGTTATTATTAGCTTCAAACAATTGTATATCTTTACACGACGGAGGGAAAGTCATACCGTCTGTTTTAAAGACAGTTGAATGGTGAGGATATGAACTTGTTTTGCATACATTACTTTTGGCGGGAAATAATGCAGCTACTATACTCCATAGAAAACAGTACTCATCTTTATTCTGTATATTTATGCAACTTTTACTATTCTTGAGAAATGATGGCAGCTCTATGAACGTACCACCTCTCATAGGACAATATTTGTTTATATTCAATTCTAAATGACTTATTGAAACCAGAGACCAACCAGATTCACAGTGTTCAAATTCTGAAAGTTTTTGTTTAAATGTTTCTATAGCATTCATATACAACTCATTAATATTAGTGTTGTTAAAAACGCAATCAAACTTTGTATTAAAAGATTTTAACTGTTGCGTACTTGACCGTGGTAACTCAAAATAAGCAAACAGTTCAAAATTTAACTTCAGACATGTGTGTTTCAGTATTGATAAATGGATAACATTCGAAACATCATTTTTATAACTGTACAGGAACGCCTCGGGTGTGAGGTACTCGACTTCCTGTGCAGGATTTATGCGGTAAGTCACAATTCTGTTCTTAAATGCAGTCTTAATAATGTCAATATTTTTGAATTCAGTTTTTAATAAACAATTCTCTTTGTGTACATTCGTTCTCATATGATAATGATATTTCTTTTGAGGAATTTCGATGTTGCACATGTCACACTTGACCGCATTGGCTACACAGGATGTCGCTGTAAAGTAAAAAGATTACAAATTAAGAATAAAATAATATATTTATTTACTTATTCATATATATTTATAGTTAAACACATTTAATTACTACAATACAGGCCAGTAAAAATAATGCTAATAGTAAGTACTATTAAATGAGGGTGGGCAATTTTTGAATTCTTTGCGAGTTGTCTTTATGTAATCTGTTAGATGTGCCCAAGCTTCAGAGTTGACGTTCGTTCTGTTTTTTATAGTAATAATACTATGACGCCATCTATTTATCGGTGCAACGTTTTTGATCTCGTTGCATGAATAAACTTTTAACTCAACGTAATGAGTGCCAGTTTTATTGTCGTCTGTTTGACGACTTATCCCATTTGCTAGCTTTCGCGTAACGTAAGAGTAAATTGGCGTACCCTTTGTTGAACCTGTCGAGCACCCTTCTTCTTCATCACTCTCGCTGCCGAAAAGCTCAGCCGTCGCCGCCTTCATGACGGGGGTGATTGGGTTGATGACGGTTTTCCTTTTCTTAGGCGCAGTGGTAGTGAACGGCTCACCTGTCTTCTTACTTGTCGAAGGGTCACATCTCGAATGCTTCTTCGGGGATTTCGAGAGCTTAGGCTGCACCGTCTCGCACTCGTCTTCTGACAGGAATAAATCTTGTGCCAAAGACCTAATAGAATAAAATATATGAGTAGTACATAGTAAAATGATTGAATAAAAACATAAATTGTTTGGTAATAATATCTTGCGACAGTGAACTCACAAAAACTGATCGAATGATTAGTAAAACTAGGACAACGATAAAATAAGCACAGGTAAAATATTAAACATTTTGGAATCGAGTATGCGCATTTGTACTTGTCACTAATTTTGCTCCCCAGCAGGATTCGAACCCGCGACTCTTCATCACAGTAAATAGATTCGGATTTGGACTAAAAAATAAATAGTCCGAAAAAAAATAATGGAATAAAATAGATAATTAATTATAATTGATGAATAGTTCGAATAGATGGCACGGTTATGTAACATAAATTTATTTTAGTACTTAAAATGCACTTACATTGTTCTTAGTTATTTGCAGTGGTTGATTTGTTTTTTTGAGCTGTCCTGTTGTCTTGTAGGAAGGTGATCTGAGCAATAATCATGGATAGAGAGGACCGGTCTATATAGGCCTTCATACGCGTCACGTTTACCCATATTTGTAATTTGTATATGAAGCAAAATAGGAAAATGCACAGTCAACATAAATGCAAAAACAAATACTCAGTATGATATGCAGCAATCATCGGTAAGTTAATTCTAATATCGATTCTAATTCTAAGTGGATAAGGTAGCATAAAAATAAAATGTGAAATATTGATTGGATATTTTGCATTTGTAAATGTTTTTCTTTGCTTAATAAATCGATTGTATAATTTCAACCTTCTTCTTTATGCAATAAGAACTATAATTTTGTCTTACTAAATAAATGATAGAATTGAGTGTGCGATGTATCATTTTGTATTATCATTAATCTTAATAACATAATTTTATTGAAAATATACCTGCTTACAGAATTTTTCATACAACAATTCACTTAATACTACGAATACAAAAGTTACAAAATTAAACCCCGGCAACGAAACATTGGTATCAAAACTACTAGTCATATCATATCATCAACACTGTTACACGTCCCACTGCTGGGCATGGGTGTTCATCATAAAAATCTTTATAAATATTGTACTACATCACACTTGCTGCATCATGTTCTATATGATATATTTGAAGAGATCTTTTAAAGGTATGTTGAAACGAAAGGTTCTTATTTTTTAGACTATATAAGTATATGATGTAGATACCTAAATAATCGGCATAATTGAGTTCAATGTAACGATACCTCATAACTTGGAATCGTTTTAGCAGTTTTGGCTCAGTGATAGAACAGATGAATACATACACACTTAGATACATACACTTAGGTATGCTGCTGAAATCATAACCCTCCTGTTCGCTCCGCTGTAGTCGAGTAATCATAAATGGAAGTAAACACAAACGGAGTCATTTTTACTCTCGGCGTCGAGCACTCCATATTAGATTTATTGATGAGTATTGAATAAAAAATACAGTAAGTACGATGTTAATTTTGAACCCTATTAGCACTGCCTTCACTCAATATAAACGGGTAAATTGGGAGTAAAATAATCATTATTAAAAAACTTATTTTCTTGTGAAGTTGTCATAAAATGTCGGTAAGTTAACCAAAATTTATTTTTAATTTTCTTTAGATTAAATTTGTTGAGAAACCTGTACAGGTTTTATATACTGTAAATATAATAAATAAATAAATAAATAATTTTAATATTAACAATGAATTGAGGATGTGTAATTAATACTTACTTTCAACTTGTTTTAAGGATTCCGGAGATCAATTATTCAACTTCGTGCCCAGCGCTGCATCACAAAGAGATTTATCTCCAAATGGAACGCGGCTCGGATTGGGACGCAAAAGAAAATCCGAAAAGACTACATGTTATACATATATAAAAAAGCGACTTCGGAGTGGTGCGAGCAAGGTTATTAAAATAGAGATCTATGATACTGATCAAATACAGAATAGTGACCAAATGTGTAAATGTGAAGCAGATTTGTGTGTGCAATACGCGGTGAGAAACATTTTATTGGATGACATTTACCACTCAACAAAAGATATTATAGATAAAATTATGTCGCCTCTAACAACAGACTCTAGTAATGGTTACACAATGTTGTAAAAATGTAGATACGTTTTATTAATAAATTATATTTGAAACATTCATTGTTTTTATCAATACCCGTTATTCCTTACCTTCCTTTTTTTTCGACGTAGTCGGGTAGAAAATTGAATAAGGAATAGAATATATAACAAAGCGTTAAGCTTACATTGCGAATTGCATCAGGTACTTAATCATGAATGATCGAGACACGCGCGCATTTGCTATCGTCTCTGCATAGCGGTGTCATTTGATAAGTATAAATATTATAAAATACCAGACCATATGCATTCAATTGGAAGCGTTGTGACATTGTAATACTTTGTTCTTAAAATAAACAGTGAATTGGTAATGTTCTTGAATACATAGAAATAGTCTACTATAGACGAAATTTGTCAAATAAAAAAGTTTTTTCAGACGACTTCTTGAAATAGATGTCTTCTTGAATAGATGACTTCTTGAATAGATGTAATGACTTCTTGAATAGATGTCTTCTTGAATAGATGACTTCTTGAATAGATGTAATGACTTCTTGAATAGATATTATTAGGGCGTCTGGATAACTCCTTGTATCCAGATGCCCTAATAATATACTACTGAAAAATGTACCTAAAACAATATGAAAGCTGAACTTAAAAAAAAATTAAAAATTCAATACTATGGACATGCATACTTTGACACCCCTTTAAGCCAAGAAGAGGCAGCAAGATGCAAATGAAACTTATAGCTCTTAATAAGGACATACTCCTTATTCAAAAACCATATACCTCAGGTGCAGCTCAGCGCAGCCAAAAGTTGTAGGTCTAAAGGAAATTAAGTTATGCCAAAAATTTTCACCAAAAAACTGCCTTCAATAAAAAAATTATATAAAAAAAATATGCATAAAAAAAATTAAAAAAAAATTGATAATAAAAGTACATACCATGCTCTTGGATCTCCATGCTTTCACAACACGTAAACACTTGATTTGGAATAGTGACACTCAAAAACAAAGTGATTAAGTTTCGATGACTCACACGTGGTGATAATTAGTCTCGCGATGCGCTCACTTCCGATGCACAAAAGTGAATGATAACGTGACCTAATTACATTGATATTTATAGTTTTTGGAAGCTTGTTAACTAGTTACTAACTTAGTGAGTTGATCTAACCGGGATAAGCCAATGATTTTTTTTGATTTATGGCCTATGGGGGAATCACAGTGCAACGTGACGTCAATGCCGAACAAAACAACAGGTTACCGTCGGCGCTAAGACGGCGCTCGAGGTGACTAAAATTATTGTATTAATAACGCATGATGATGGGAACCTCTGCCTACCCCGATTTCAATTTGATAAGCATGTACGTATACCGTTACAATGAGAGAGAATATCAAAATATATTATATTATACTATAGTTTACTTATCTAAACACATTTATAAATAAAGGCATTACATTTTATCTATGTGGCACAGCTCCAACGGGACAGAACTTCTTGCTTCGTGCGGCCATACCGACGACGCAGTTGTACCTGTCTCGACTGCATTACTCCACGAAGTCTGAGGATATAGTGGAGTATATCCGGTTGAAAGCCCAATTCACCCTGAGAGTCGAACGTTTGGAGTCTCGCCACAACGTTAACTTTAATTCGTTTGTGGTGAGGGTCCCAACGGTCCATCTGTCGACCTTCATGCAGGTAGAGTTTTGGCCGAAGGGTGTCATGTTCCGGCGGTTCAGAGGAACGATACATGACACTTGTTTGCGTCGCACGTCGCCGAATAGTAATTCGTGTAAATAGTTAATAAGTTTATATTATTTTATATGTATGTTAGTCTGTAAGGTATTTGTTATATGGGCCTTAGTTGCCTGAAATAAATGAATAAATAAATAAAAAATAAATAAATATAAAGTTTAGTATCCGACCATAGAGCCGGTCTATAGCGGAGTGTTTCACAGCGCCTCTGATATTCTGCTACAGATTGTCGTTCTCAAAAAGAAACTAGCACAATGTTCTAGTCTTAAGATTGCCATTCGCAACAGGTTTATAATTTGAATTTACAATGAGGTTTTCGGTAAAGGAACACATCGTGAGGAAACTCCTCATTTACAAAGCAATTTAATGTTATATGTGAAGTTGCTTGGACGCCTATACCCAGCAGTCGGTAAAGTCAGGCTGTATATGATGATGATGATATTATACCCAAAGAATTGCACAGACACTCACTTACTCAGATACAAACACCTCACCGAAGTGAATCTACATCGTATATGTTCCAATAAAACCAAGAGTTTACGACAGGGAGTCAATATGTTTACTGGCCGGTCATAAATCAGTTCTGAGCATCATATCCCCCTGCGACATGCGTAGTTAATTAAACCACAGCTATGATTATGAACCTCATCGGGGATTTTCACTAATTATAACGAAATACATATTACGACTGATTCCTTGATTTAAATCTCTTGCTTATAGTTTTGTTTTGTACTATAACATTCTAAATATCCTACCGCTGATCATAATTATTTCTTAATAAGAAATTATTTACTATATTACATTTACAGTTTTAGTAGCAGTAGAAAACACTTGAACTCTTGAAAAATTATACATATAACAGTTCATCATTTACCATATTTAACAATACGTGATATTGAAGATAAGTTAATTATCGTCGCAAACAGTACGAAGTCCCTTTATCAGCAACCAATTAACAAAAAATATTGCGAAAGTAATAAATTTCATGAACCATTTCTAGTCTCTAACACACACGCAACAACTAATAAATAATCTATATTCCTATCTTTAAAATTTTCGCTTCAAAAATTTCCCCTAAATTTTACATATTATCACACAAAGTAATGAATAAT